AATGCAACTGCAACTGGTTCATATATCCGAAATGATCTTACATCATGAACTAATTGGATGTAATTGATATTCACAGAGAAAGTTTTCACATTCCTATCAGCGGATGAGGTGGAGAAATTGAAGCAAGAAGAGGAAAGGAAGATGGCCTCTCTGTCGCGATCAGAGCTCGGCTCGTGGTCCCCAGGGGAGGACCGACAGAGTGGATATAGCTCGCATTCCGACGACGAACCTTACGAGAATGGCCATAGGTACCTATAACACACCTTATTTTTTTATTGTAACTTGACAACGCTGTCATACTATTTTGACGTTTTAGTACAGGAATATTTGAGGCTCGAGCAACCGAAAGCGTATACGTAGACGTGCACGTACCACTGAGTTGTATAATACATATGAAATTCTACGATATTAGATGTGTATCTTATATCGATTGCGTAAGCGCGCTTACGTCAACGCCCGCGCCGGTCTGGTCTGTAAAGGCTTAAGCCTTTAAACCTAAATGTTAAGGCACTTAAATATATAGTTAAATGTAGCTTTTTTAAAATATTTATAAATAATAATTATTTCAGTGTGTCTGGAGGCGTGAGTCCGTCAGCGAAATCACAAAGACGGCGCGCTGCCCGCGACGGTGAGGTAGAGGACGCGGCCACGCGCGCTGCAAGGCGGGCTGCGTGGCGCGCCGCACGATTACGATCACTTGAACAGGTTAGTTAAGGATCAAGAGTACATAATAACATCTAACTTTAACCTGGTAATTGAACTGGGTATCCGGCTACTGTAAAATGCGTCAAGAGTTCGATTCTCGTTCTGAAAAATTACGTATTCGATCCATAAGGTGTGTATGTGAAATTATTAATTTGTAAACGCACCTACGACACAAAGAAAGTCCTCGAATGAGCCACCATAAAAAGGCCTGTTATAGAAATGTCATTATTGCTAACGAATTTTACTAAATAGTTCGTACAAAAGATTCAATCTCTTTGCATGATAGTGATTTGCGAGTAAAGAGATTCCATTCATAAAAGTTGATGAATAAACATGGCCGTGAAAAAAGGTAGATGCCATTAATGTTTTATTTTTAATTTATTTCTCTTCTACATTATACATAGCATTTTATGTATTTTTTCGTATGTTCCGGCCTGTTTTAGAAAAAAAGCAAATGAAAAACTTTTTGGAGATTTTTTAACAGTAGTAGAAAAAAAATCGTTGCTCTTATGGGAGCCTGTATCTGTACAATAAAATTATAATTTTGAATATTTAGGAGGCCCTCGAATCACAGAAAGTAATTAAAAGCATGGTGGGGCCAGCGAGTGACATCCTAGAAGATCCACCGAGGGAAAACTCGTCCAATGAGGTAATTATTCTGAACATTAGTCTTGTGTCTTGAATAAACGAATATTCTCCAAATTATAACACTAAGCAACCGGTTCTGTAAATGGAAAAAAGGATTCACCAAGGCTTTAAAAATAGAGGTTTAATTAACAGGTAGACTTTTTTCCATTTCAGGTTGAGAATGTATTGTCATAATCCAATAATACTCCATTTGTTTGTCTGTCTGTAACTGTTAACATTGTGATTAACCCTGATACAATATTTGTCTTTGTCCAGTAAGCAATTATAAAGTCTGTCCTAGTTCCGTCTATTCAATTTGCATTATATTGGAACCGATGTCTTGTTGCAAGTACCTGTACCAGTAACAGTACTTAAGTTGAACTAACACATTGTGGTAACTGTTTGTCTTATGGGTGGGGATCAATGTCGCTTGGTTGGCATATTATTGTACGTTCACCATGGGCTGCGTATGTCAAAATTGGCTTTACAAATTATAGAAATGGCCCCTACCACGTATCGCGTTACGTACAAAACCCGGCCCTATACTGGCCGTCAAGGAGAAAGAAAAGTTGTTAGACGAGCGCATTACTCTCCGCACCGAGGAGTTCGTGTGCCCCGCAACCGGCGAGACTAAAGTGCGAACCGTCGAGTACATTGAGAAAGTCATTGAGAAAGAGGTACGCGTATGACGCCGCGATTGTACATTCTGCTACGTAAGACGCTGTACACAAGCAATGCCGTATCGTGTGGTTTTTTATTATCTTTTTGTATATCTTTACAACTACGCTTAGCTTTCAACGTGCAACTATGACGACAGACAATAGATTCGACTTTACTTGAGACTGACCAACGAAATGATACTTGTATCAAGACAATGAATAAACCGACTGACAAAGATCAACTATGTGTGTATAAACACTAAAATGTTAACGGGGCCTAGAGCACATAACGATACACACTATTCAGCACAAATTAAACTTAAAACACCACAAATGCAGTAGATGTATGTAATGAAAATTGTTTAATCACTTATTAAAAACGTCTATTTGTATTTATTTTACCGAATTCTACAAAATATTTTTGAATAAATTACAGCGATATTTTTCTCTTGCAAACTTGGATTTGTTTTCAGTATATATCGCTTTTATTAAGTTTGCGATTCTTAATCGTAGCAATTGACGTTCCATAGTCTCTACCTGCCCCCATAGGAGACGGGCGTAAGACTATGTATGTATATTAATATTTAAATGAAAACAAAAACTGTAAATACCAATGGCCGATGGTAGCATGCAAGTAGAATATGGATAAATAACTATGAATGATGCAGTTTAATGTGATTACACAACTTTCTATAAAAAGAATACGAGATGTAGATATTCACGTAGTACCTTACACTCACGTTATGTAGAACTAAAATCGACGTGGCAATAACAGGACTCGATGTATTGAACACCTATATTGTTATAAATCCCATGTTATATACAATTTATTTGCCCCATTTGACAGTACCCCCATTCCCAAGGTTTCCTCTTATAATTTCTTTTATTTCTTCTTATTTATTATCTGTTTAATGTTGTCACGAGTGTTGCATGATATTTGGCATGGCATGCTAACTTAATTTATTGTGTAATTTGTCAGACGATACCTGGATTCTAGACACGGCAAGCTTCGACGAAAACAATGGTTTGTTGCGTTTATTACTCTTCAGAAATATATACTAAAGCTTAGTTCATTGCTTTAGCAGCATAAGCAATACTAACTCACTAAAGCCTGTATATTAGAATAATAACAAAGTATATAGTGCACGTCCACTTCACATATTTACCAACAAAGTGCCCAAAGTTGTGACCTTGTTATAATTATTTTGCTTTTGATGTTGTGTTGTGTTGTATTATATTATTTAGTCACAATTTTGCGCACTAAAATCGATAACATTATAACTTATTCTTACGGACTTCATCAATTCGACATTCATGATATTGTTCTACGATATACTTCAAGAACATCATAATTTGATTCAATAATTTCCTTCAAAGCCAGTATATCACTTCATGGTTTGTAATATACTCGAATTACAGTCATACCATCTCATTTGTTTGTAACACAAGCGCCAATAATCAGCGACATCAAAATTAACCGTTTTTATTAAAATACAGGTGGAAACGACGCAAGAAAAGATAATTTCTCTGGAATTAACAACTAGCCCGAGTAGTGAAACAGCTCCTACCGACCTGGAAGAGGCCGGTATTAGCTTAGGAGAGGCGGACATGGAAGGCGGCGACAACTCGCTGCAGCCCGACATCGTGCAGGTGGTGAATCCCTTGCTGGACGGCGGCGCGGGCCGCGTCACCGCCATCCCCGTGGGACCCACCCACCGCGTCACCGCCTACACAGAACAACCTCAGTAGACCACACTCACTCTAGATCTCTATCCTACCACGCCTCAATCTCCGCTCCCTTACCTACCTGAAGAAACTATCCCATGACAACATATCGGCTAGATCCACACCTCTAATAGACACGACTCGACCCCAGTCGAGCATCGGACTCGATTGTAGATTTCTTCAACGAAACGAACGTTTGTGAAACGAGTTTCCATCTTAATTTTGTATTGTAACTGTGATAATAAATTTAGATTCCACCGACTTGTTATGTTACTTAAAGGCGCTTGAAGAAATCCACTAGCGAGATACGTTTTGTGGCATTTTTATCACAATTTTTATTTTTTTATTTTAGTTTTGCGACGGAGATTTTAGAATAATTATAGGTGTTACTATATATTTTTGGAAATATTAATAGTTATTATTCTTTGGATACTTTACGTATTTAATTTTAAATGATTTTCATTCCGTGCAAGTCTTGTGACTGAATGTTGATGCTGTACCTGCTGAGGAATGTGACTGGTTGCTCGATCGGACTGTGAATGTAGGCGAGTGTAAGATATTAAACGTAGTACGTGTACATACCATCAACAACACGCAGTGGAATGCGACGCAAGTGTACCACAGTGGCATCACATTTGACGATATAACATAATTATATCGCCCTGTACTTGCATTATACAATTACTTATTTTATTTGCGCATTGTTGTTTCGTTCAGTATTTTGTGTTTGATGATGTATTAATATTTTAATTTAATGTAATATTATAATAATTTAATTATTTTATGTGGTGCCTTGATTTCATTGAATCAATTTTTATATAATTATAATATGATTTTATCTTTCAGACTTCATAATGTTTTAATTTTATTATTCTTGTAATTTTGTTTTGGAAATTTTACACTAAGTTAGAATACAATGATTTTATCCTACAGAACGTGATGAACGCATTTGCATCAGTTTGACGGTAGAGTTTATGATTAAGTTAGTATTGCTGTAAATGTCCCGATGTTACTACAAAGTGTACATTTCCGACTGTATGAAATGTATTATTTGAGTTTATATGAAGAAAATTATGTATCACGGTAAATAAAATGGATGAGTTGAATGGAAGAATGTGTGTCCTTTATACCTTTCTAGTGATATGTGCATTGTAAACTATTGAAAACATTGTATGTTTGTCCCAATTAAATGTTTTAATATATATTTTAATAAAATTATTGCTTTGTTTTAATTCAAAACTACACATAGATTAACTGTAACTTTATTTAGTCTATAATATATATAAGAAACACAATTAAAATGTTCATAATCTATTAAGAACAACAAAAATATCTTAAAAATATAAGTAGTTGAATACTTTTACTTCTTTGGTGCAATGATGCCTTCCAGTTGAGCCTGAAATAAAATATTAGATGTTAGACATGGGTCCATCAATATCAAAGAATCTCTGATCTTTCGCCCAGCGGCATATTATATTTCGAGATAGGACAGTTTCCATAACATAACATCACGCCTTTTATCAGTAATACTTTGCTCGACCCGGGAATCGAACCCGAGAACCCTTGCCCGGCAGTCGCATTTGCGACCACTCGGCCAACGAGGTAGTCAAGACAGTTATGCTTTTATTAATAGCTTGAGTAACAAAATGTCAATGCCAGATCCTGACCCAGTCATGCTATAATTTATAACAAAAGTAAATTGAAGAAAATAATTTTGACGAATAAGGAACCTTTTCAACAAGACTTCTTGGCCTCATGTTAACTTCTTGTATGTCGGTATTTAAGACAATAGAAAATGCATTGTGTCTCGCGTAGATCGCTCCAGCATACCAGACGTTAAGGCACATGGGAAACTAAGCATACCCATCCTGGATGTGGCTAAATAAGTTAAATTGTTCTCACCTTGAGCTGAGCGTTAGTCTTCTTCAATGCAAGCAACTCTTCTTGGTGACGTTTCTCCTCCGCAGCTCGAAGCTCAGCCGCGCGTCTTTCCAGTTGCTCAGTCTTTTGTTTCAACTCCATACATTGCTTTTCCAAAGCTGAACGTTCAGTTTCCAACTTTGCAACTTGGTCCATTAAGTCTGATTTTCCTTGTTCAGACTGCGAACAAAAAGGAATTTATAAAAATATTACATAAGGTCTATTAAATGATGTGCTGACGTGGGTCGTTGAGAACAGCTGGCAACTGCCTCATGTAAAATATTGGTATTCAGCATGAGACTGTAAACTTTAAGCAAGTAATTATCGCATAAAATACTTAGTTTAGCCAAAGGTCGAAGACTTTCTATAAGTATAGGGTCCATATACCTGTAAAGCTTTCCTCATGCCGAAGGCAATAGAACTACAATAGAGCGTTTGGTAAGCTTCCATCGTGATCCTTGCTTCATCTCTCACTCTTAGTAGCAGGAGACCCCTTTCGCCACAATTTATTGTTACCTGCAAAAAAGGCTTGCTGTCTAAAAGGTAACCATCTTAGATCAGCATCAGTTGGGAGACATATAATACTAAAACAAGCCAGCAAGGCTTATATTTTCCTCTTTAGAGGGGGTGCCATGATTCTTACTTAAGATTCTGAACCAGTGATTTGGAGCTCGCAGTTAAATTACCGGAAAGCTTTTGAAGTAACTCTTGCAGAATGCGGCTGGGCACATATATAGTTCGGTTTCAGAGGAATTTTCTCCCACGTACCCTCCAATTGTGGAATGAACTCATGCAGTGGTTTTCCCAGTGGGCTACAACATGGGAGATCCTCAAGAGGGGAGGGATAGGTTTCTTAACGGTTGGCAAGACGCATGTAATGCCCCAAGTGTTGCAGGCGTACATAGATCATAGCAGCAACTTACCATCAGGTGGGCCGTGTGCTTTTTTCCACCGTTGTGGTATAAAAAAATATATAGCAATCTCGGTTCAGAAACCATTTACCATCGAAGAAATTAGCAGTGCAATTAATTGATTAGTGAGTTTCACTAAGCTATTGGATAAATGTTTAACCTGTCGTATAAGTTCATCGAAGCACTGCGTGTATAGTTGTCTGCGCACAGGACAAATGCCTGTCTCTCTGGCTTGCCTCTGCTGCAAGCGCGTGTCCAACATTTCTTGCAGATTTATCACATCCAACCGAGTCGCAGGAGTCGACGATATCTGATGGAGAAGGAGAAGTGACATTTTATATAAGCACCTAACGCCCGAACACAGAAAAGCTACTCAACTTTAAATTGTACATTTCTAAATATCGTGCATTCTCTGTCATTTTACAAAGAATTTGTACCTATACAATATACAGAATTAAGCAGCCACTTACAATTGATTAACGTTTGAGTATTTCAGCGTGAAACATGATACCTAGTAGAATATTTATATTGAGACTTCTCATCCTTCTAACGACATAAAGTGTACCTACTGGTAAATGAAACTGCCAGTCTTAATTTGTAATTTTATACAATCATCACAAATACAGCACCTTTTGAGTCCATATTTGTCCATCTTCCTCCCATTCCTTTGGCGGCAAAATAGCATTTAGGATCTCTTCAGTTTCTTTCTTGGCTTCTGTAGGGACACAGGGTTGTATAGAGGAACCAGCTACAGTTACCTGTAAGAGTGTGCAGAACGAGGTTAGAACGCAAGTGTGGGAGAGCCATGTTTCGGCACGAATGGGCCGGATCGACCGGATTGATACCACGGCCTCACAGAAAACCGACGTGACAAATCACTTGCGTCGTGTGACTGAGGTTACCGGAGGCCCAATTACCCCTCTCCCCAATCACAACAATCCCCAACAATACTCAAATTCCTAATCCCCAAGAGGCCGGTAATGCATTTGTAACACCTCTGGTGTTTTGGGTGTCTATGGGCGGCGTCGATTGCTTACCATCAGGTGACCCATCTGCTTGTTTGCCGGTTTATTCCATAAAAAGACCTATGGGTTGTTGTTGCAACGAACTTTGTCAAGAACTGCTTACTTTTTCAATCCTCTTGGTAACCACTAGTACAGGATTGTCATAACGAACTAAAGTTTCTTCTGCGGAGACAGGTGCTCTTTCAGCCATTTTTAGAAATAATTATAATAGGTGTTAACGATTTTATTTATTTTTGACTAGAAATGTCAACGCCGATTAACGATATTAACCTGTATTGTAAACAAAGTTTCGTTTCCATAGTAACTGCCTGTTGCATAGCAATAGCCGTCAACGTCGTACAATGACACTATGCATTACCCACACAGCCAGTGACTAACTTCTACATACATAATAACTTCACGCCTGTCTTCCATGGCAAAGAGGCAAAGAGTATAATAAGTATAGGGCAAAGGGGTAGGCAAAGACTATGGAACGCTAATTGCTACGATTCTTACATACTTCTTTCGCTTCATCAACAGTCATCAGTCTTTTCATGTTTACCAGGGTGTTTTAGCAAGTTTTTCAGTGTTAGCTTTTTCAAAAGCAATGTGATATAAATTTTCGAATAATAGTAACTAACAGAATAAATAATATGAACAACTAGTAGGTAACAAGCATTATATGGCACACCTGATTCCGTTGTTTTGCCGAATGTGCATGTGAACAGTGGTTTTAGTCGGTTCGAATCCGACACTACTATTTTCCCGATAGCACAAGGAACTAGCTCACACAAAAGTATTCACATCGAAAAAAGTATACAGCACATTTGTTAATTAATGATGTAATAATTACATTACATAGTTAATAAAGAAATATTATACAATGTTGTATAATAATGTTTTCTCTACAATGCCATATCAAAGTACTGACAACCATCATATTTACATCTTTAAATTACTCTAAACTTAGCTTAAACTACAAATAAAACAGATATAAAATGTAAAGAGTTTGAATACTATTTTTAATCAGTAAATTATGCCTAAAACCATAGTACATAAATTACATTACAGATTATAATATAAAAACAGTCTTTAAATCTGATATTGCAATGTCCAACAAAAATCTTTCACTATTAGTTCCACACAGTTTTTGAACTTCAACAAAACTTTTCCAAGTTATTAGAACATATTATTTGTGTTGTAAACACAATTTCTTCCTTATTCATTGAGAGTCACTGCTTGAACTTGAACTCGAATCGGTGGACATCACTTCAACATCTTCTTGGTTTGGTGCGTCCTTGCCACGGCTGTCGATGGACACGGAGTTTCCACCACCAACTGACATGTGGAGCTCGCCTGATGGATGCCATGTGAACTGGTTTGTTGCTGATGCTGGCACTATAAATAAAACAGTTAATAAATTAAGGAATTGCCAAGATATCATTGTGATAGGAGGAGATATACATATGGATGTATGACCAGATATCTGAATGTGCTTGATTCGAAACAAATCATAATTATTTATTTATTAAGAAATATGCATAGATGTATATTATTATGACTTCTGTCTACCTTCATAAGACAAAGGCATTAGTTTTATGTATCTTTGTATATCAACAAAGAAAACCTGCAATAAACCAGATTTATGAGATGTTTCACAACATAGTTACTTATTATATGTATGACTAAATGAGGAAATGCACTGTGCACTGTGGCATTTGCCATAACATAAAATAATACATAAAGTTTATTCAAGCATGGAAATACCCATAATTGCAATTAAAAAGATTTCAATATACAAATGAGAATACATTTCTAAGTAAATTAATAAGTAGCATGATTACGTGACTCACCTCCGCCTGTGGTCATTCTGTGCAGTTCATTTAGTGTGGATGGAGTGTGTCCATTCAGTGGCAAGTCACAGAGCCGGCCGAGCATACCTAACCGCATCTCCAGGTCTGTGGGGTATGGACGGCGAGGATCTCCAGGCTGCCAGGAAAGAGGTGCACTCACTGCATTTGATGCACTAATTCTGTGAATTAATTCAACAATTTAGGAAGATATAACAGTAAGTACATTGAATAAATTATCATTTAAGATAAGAGAAAAATCACATTTAATAAAATATGTTAGTTTTTAAATGAAAGTTTGACTTCAATTTACCTGTGTGCAAACTTAATCAATTCTTCTGATGGTACTGGCCGTTTCCTAGACTTAACTATTGATGCAAGCTTCTGCCTGGCTTGGTATAATGACGTTGCGAGAATTTGTTCCGCATCTTTTAGTTGCCTTTGTAATTGAAAGATGTCTTGATCCTACACATATTAAAACAATATTTAAAAAATGTGTTGTTAATTTTTTAATAAATCTAGGTATAAGTTAATTGTAGATTTACTTAACCTTATTTTCAACTTCAGCTTTCAAGTCATTCATTTTTTGTTGAATCTTAGCCTGTTCATCAGCTAACTCCAAAGCTTTCTTCAGTTCTGAATCTTTTGACAGCAACAATTCTGTTAACTGAGCATGGTCAGCGGCAGAAAGCTTTTGTGGTTTTGGAGCTATTGACACTTCAATCATTTCTCTGAAAGAACAAGTAATAGTTACAATGATACTTTCATTTTTCATGTTCATTTTATTTACCACAACTAGGTCTTAGGCACTTACTTTGAAATCAACTCGATATCATCAATCAGCGCCAGGAGTCGGTCTTTAGTACTCAGATGAGATGCCATGGTATTTCACTTAAATGTTATTTTAGTCAACACAAAGATAGGATTGTTTTCGTTACAATTATTTTGTTTTAGAAACGATCAGACTGCGTCCTCACAGCACAGCATTTATCAATAAGTTTGACAGTTTTGACACTACGTTATGACAGTTGATTGCCGCTGTCAGACTACAGGGTTGCCAGGTAAAATATATGCTAAAAATTTAAAAAGTGTAGTATCCGTAATCCAAAAAGAACACGAGTTTATTTTGTAGCAGGTAGCTGTTGTCGATTAATGTCTTGTAGAATTTGGATTTTATTTGAATTTGGTTTTATTTAGACCACCATACCTATTAGGTACATATTTTTAACCTGGCAAACCACTTTCAACTCAACCGACTTCCAAAAAATGAGGAGGATCAATTCTCAATTGATCCAAACTCAATTTGTCTGTATGTTTATTTTGTGTTTACTTGTGTTACGCGGTTACCGGCGTTTATGTGTGATAAAATTTTATTTTTATATATAGGTACTTAATCTTCTTATGCATAGGAATTTAAAAAGAAGACATAAAAGTGAAACTAAATAACTGAATGAAGAGGATAAAATTTTTGAAAATGTTAGATTGCTAAGTTGCGTCGTATATATATCGTATCATGATAATCACACGGTACTAAATATTCAAACTCAATTACAAACCTAAATAATTGTATAATATTATATAAATAATAATATTAATATCTTTTTGTTTAATCCCCAAGCGGTCAGCGGTGACCGCTCTCTAACTCCAACTCCATTATAACCGTTATTTCCATGGGCTCGCTGCCATCGCAGCGGTAAGTCCCCTCTTTGAGGAGTGGCTTGAGAGACGCTACGGCGTCCTCACCTACCGCCTGACGCAGGTCCTCACCGGACATGGAAGTTTCGGGAGGTACCTGTGTCTGACGGGGCGGGAGGAAACGTCTGGGTGTCATCACTGCGAGGACCGCCCTGAGGACACGGTGGAACACACGGTGGGAGAATGCCCTTCGTGGGCTGAGCACCGCCGTGTCCTCAGGGAAGTGATCGGCGATGGCGACCTCTCGCGTCCGGGCCTAGTGCAGGCCATGATGCGGAGCGAGGGGGATTGGGATGCCGTCTCCTCCTTTTGCGAAGCAGTCATGCTAGCTAAGGAGGAGGCGGGACGCGTGAGGCAGCGAAGCGCTGCCTCCTCGCAACCCAGCCATCGCGAAGGACACACCGGGCGTCGGGGATCGCGGGACGATCTCCGGCCACCGTAAGTGCGGGCCTGCGGACGGCGAGCATGGGTGGCTCCCCGTCCGACCAGAAACAGACCCGAGCGTACGGCGCGTCGCGTTCCGCGCGCGCCTCAAAGAGCCATCAGACCACCACAGATGGGGCCCAATAGGGTCGATGCCGATTCGGAGTCGCGGAGAACCTAACGGGTAACCGGGGCTCCGGCTCGACGCGTGCAGGAGAAGGAACGGGGTGGTTTTTAGTCAGTAAGAGTCTGACACTCCCTCCCGCCTCACCCAGGCGGGGGCAGTCATTCGATGATTTTCCCCCTTAAAAAAAAAAAAAAAAACCGTTATTTCCAATGTTTAGAGGCTACTTTTGTATGAACAAATTTTTGAGAATTTTCGGTACGATAAAATGCATCTGAATAATAAATATTACCTATATTATAATATTTATAAGCATGAGCACTTGCGCTAAATATTTTTTATAATAGAGACGTATGTAGGTACTTATTTAATTGGCTTTCTCTGAGCGAAGTTGTATTGTAAGTCATACAATTTCCCAGGTTCATGAAATTTAATAACAGAGTTCTAAACCGTTAGAAAACAATACAGTGACTTCTTAAGTGAAACTAAACTTACCTATTAACTTTTCAAAGCTTGGTATGCCAGGCGTAGTCAGATTACTAGGTGTCTACATTAAGTATCCTTTATGAATTCCTATATAAACGTAAGGAGTACCCCAGGGCAGCGTACTGGGTCCAACCACTCTATTTTATCAATATTTATTTCTTCATTTACCTATACATTATTAGTATTACATTGAATCATACTCATATGTCGCACGGTATCGAAACTACTAGGTGCATATAGATACTTACCTACTTACTACCTTGGTTTGTTTGTATACGTAGTCGTATTATGCGATTCACGCGAACCGGCTTGGTGCACGCTGTTGCTTCGTGATCAGCTGATGCAGAGGGGAATGTGGTTAGAGAGGGGACTGGGGCGGTAAGCGGAGGAGAGGGGCACGACCACGCTGTGAACATGCGCACTCCACGTGCTAGTGGGTCTTTATTACTGTGCGTCAACTAAAATTAATAATAATTTTATTTACTGATATAACTCGTTTTCTTCTAAAATACCATTGTTCAATGCATTTTATGTGTGGTTTAGTATAATTTTACCAACAGAAAAGTGGTTTATTATTTTCACGCCGTTGTATTGTGCTACTTAAAGGAAAATTAAAAACTAGGAATTTTGTTTAGTCACGTCGTTTTTAATAGTGGTTGTAGCATTTATTTGTTTGAAACAGAGTTTGGTAATGTATTGTTTTCAGAACTAAAATACTAGAAATATTTTAAATTTCTTTTGGCACACTAATAAAGGCTAAGATACCACAGCCTAACGTAATCAGTTACTCAACGCATACCGTTAAGTAAATAAATAGCTTTTCCCAAAAAATAAGTGAGATAATACTGAGTTTTTTATATTTTTATTAGGATTTTCTTTCATAACAACTTATTGAATTAGAAAAATGGATAAAATTAAACAAAAGTGTCACAATTTCTTGTAAACATTATTTTAGGCTGTGGCAAAGGTTTCTTTCATGACATCACACGGTTGAGGTGCGGGGAGGGGCGTACATTGTTGATTCGATCGGACGCCCGCTGCGCTGGCTTGCTGCAAGTTTACCCGGTCCAGTGCGAGCTTGGCAGTAGAGGCGAAATTGGCTCCTCTGCCAATCTAATGGAAAATCGCTCCTTTGAGAAAGTGTCATCTGCAATCGTGTTAAACAAATCAAACATTCGTCTTAGACGCGACAATTGCCGTAAACAACAAATCCTGCTCCTGCTATTATGTTGTTTAAACGGATCATTGAAGGAAAGTCCATGTTGAACGCGGATGCCAAGAACATTTCGCCGGAGAAATGTTCTAGAAGGAGGTCGGAATGTGATGGATGTAGTGAACATTCCACGTAAGTCTGGAACCTGGGTTTATATTAACTTGGTTGTAGTTTATTTAAGGACTTACTAGTTAACTAATCATTCAAAACGTAATTAGTAATTGCACCTAGCATTGAACTTTAACTTTTTTATTTAAAACTATATAAGAAAGAAACAATGCGTTACAAAGCTAAGCGCAAAAACTGGTCAGCTATTTTTAACGCCAGTTAACATCAATGCCACCGCTATGCACAGTATGCACTCACGGCCGACTTATACAAAACTGTTGCAACTTGCAGTTAACGCGCACTTGTTTGTTTTCCTTTTTCCCTAACAGCGATCGAAAAAGGATTCTTTATTCAAATAAGTACTTAGGGACATAAATGGTCTCCCGAGGTCATTGAACTTAGAAAAACAAGTTACCTGATTTCGCATAAAGGAGTTAATAAATGGCCCATGTCATGTCAACAAATGATTGATTTCATTCGTCTCGATGTTATAAAACATCGCATGTTTATTTTTCGCACATAACCTCGTCCACGTCGGTTGAGGTAGGTTAGTGTTTGTTTTTAATTTGGTAAGTAGCTAATTTAGATGCCTTCCTTATAACGGCAGTGTGTTTAAACTAGTTGCTTATTTATAACAGAAATATAAATAAGTAACCGGTTTTCTTAAATTATAAAAACAGTTTTAAAAACATACGCTAGGTACGTTATTTAGGTCGTTGCGTCCAGAGTGTAGAAAGATGTAGGTCACAATGGGCGGTCTCGATTTTTCTATGACTTGTAACTGATAAAGAATTCCTTGGACAATGTCATTGTACTCAGTATCAGTACATGACATAGTGCATTTGAATGAACAGTTTATTTAAGTAATTGTGTGAAGAAAAAGCACTCGGTCTTTACTGGCAAATTTTGTTAGAACTATTTCGAAACAATGTACAAAATATTTGTACTACAAATAGATAAATAGTTATCACACACCTAATCAATTATTACTTACTAATATAATTTATTCATCCTCATCATCGTCGTGGAGGCCTATGGAGGACTGCAGTGCTGAACATATGCCTCCCCTTGTCCCTAGTAAATACAGTTGACTATTTATTCGACCATCTGCACATGTAGATGCACTGATCAAAACTTTTTTACTTACGTAATTATTTATTTAAACTACTTATTTATGGATACAGTTATTTTTATCAGCAAACAGAAATCTTTTAATAGCGTCTTCACTCCGCTTAGATAATGAACTAATAAACGAACTAAAAGACTAAATCTAAGAAAATATAATATTACACTTATCTAATTATAACTAGAAAATTGCATCCGTAAAGTTGTATATATAGATAAACAAATATTTAATCAATATTTTTGTTTAGACTAGTGTATATGTTCAGCATTTAGTTTTAATTACGCAATTAATTAATACATTAATCAGAATCCGCATATCATTGCATAAACAACTATAATTGACTAAGTACAATAATTTAATTGGATCTGCGTTTGCCTGTAAACAATTTTTGGTTATTTTGGCATTAATCAAATTATTATCATAGGTATTAATTCAAGGTAAGTAATTACATAGGTGCATCGAAAAAATATACTGTGTATATTAATATTAAAATATATGACTTAAGGTTTGATAAGTACATAAAACAGGAAGATTTGTAAAGTAAAAACATTTATCCGAATCCTTGAATGATACTTTATCATAAGAATATTAAGAAAACTCGTTGACTCATTTGACGTCAGACTTGTGATTACTCGTTGATATCACGTCAATTACCTCTAAACTGTCACAAGAGTTGAGAAAAAACAAAGAAACCAATACTCACTGGTTAGTTTCAGTAATGCAATTAATTGATATACGTACATTGACCATTTACTAATAGACATCATAAAATTATGATCAGTTGAAATCACTTCCCGACAATTCCCTTAGAAATGTTTTTTTTTAGTAAGAGATAACTAAATCGGGCGAAGGTGTACAGCTACGTCACACAATATCAACAAAATTCACTAACATTGAATTTATCAATCTATATTATGTATAATTGTTACGTATGAAAAGCAACAAGTGACCATAGTTATGCAATATAATGCGAACAATCAACAGAAGTAGAACCAACTGAATTATATCACTTACCTTTTTAAAATTGCAACTTTCAAATTTGTAAGTAGGTACCTATGCACCTAAGTAGGTAAAAGTAGCGTAGATTTGCATGTCGCGGAGAACCTAACGGGTAACCGGGGCTCCGGCTCGAAGTGCAGAAGAAGGAACGGGGTGGTTTTTAGTCAGTAAGAGTCTGACACTCCCTCCCGCCTCACCCATGTGGGAGCAGTCATTCGATAATTTTCCCCCCTTAACAAAAGCGTAGATTTGCATAGATCTAAAAAATATATTTTAAGTGCACAAACAGTCATTGATTATTTCCTTTAAATTATTATGCACATGGTTAAACAAAAGCCAAACATAAAAGTTGAATGCAAAACTAAGTTGCCAAAAAATAACCAAACAAAAAGGGAACTGGGAAGTCTCCCCTACCTTGTAATCTCGCCAATTTCGCGGCTCAAGTCATTTTGTATGATCTTAAAAAATAATCTGACTCGATTCCATGAATGAAATCTGTTATTACGATCCAACTGCTCCGTAGTTAGTGCGTAATTGATCTAAAAAACAACAGTAAACTGATTAGTTAACTAGTATTCCAAGACCAAACATTGATTCGTCAGTTGTTTTCCGACAAAAACACGGATTCTCTGAACTAAACAAGACGAACCCACTTGATAAATTATTATAATTAGGTACATTAATGATTGCACATGCCACCTGATTAGTTCTATCTTTAGCCGGAACTGTTTACTGTATCGCGTAGTTCAGGGGGCTCGTCAATTTATCGTGTTATTACTGAAAATTGCAGATAGTAGTGACGAAACATGCGCGAGGCGGGTACTTCAACATTATCTGCGGGGACGCAAACAGGTTATGACCCTTGGGTCGTAATGATACTCTTCTCGTATATAGGCCCTCATAAAACTGTTTATCCAGTCGCTCGTTGATCAGTTGGAGTCCAAACGTCTCAGATATAAGAACGAAGTATGTTAATAGTTAAAATTTTACATCGGTCGGTCTCTTGGCATTTAAATTCGATTATTATTCGTATAGTGCATTGTGAGTATTGTGACTCATAGCTGGTTACTCCTTTGTTCCAGTATATTGGAAGAAATGATGAAGATGGTGTTGCTTGGTGTGGTGCTCTGGGCGGGAGTCACCTTCGGGAGTCATGTGGCTCCTTATCCTCTAAATCTTATTTTATCTACTGGTAAGTTCTACTTTATATCCGTCCAAAATTATTTCAAACATAGTTCAGTTCTTGACAGTTTTATACTTTTGCAGACATTAGTCATCCACCACCTATGTATGATTATCCGTTTCCGAGTGCTGAAATGTTGAGAAGGTTACCGCCTGTCACAGCGCTACATACAAACAGGTCAATAAGGATCAGCAAGCTAGAAGTATCCATGTTGGAAAGGTTGGAAATAAACCTGCAGTCCGCTGGGATCACCCCTAAAGCGGGCTCTGCTGCCCTTGGTCTGGCGATCGACGGTTCGGTCTCCGAAAATGCCATGCACTATGAGAAGTCATCGATGACGATCACCAAAGCGTCTCAGAATCTAGTCTATACGAGATGCCGAAGGTAAGTTTCTAAAGATGGTCCATGCCTTTATTTAATGTAGAATTCGTATCGGAACATTTAGGTTTACACACTTTATTTGTCCACATTCAGATATGGTTTGCCTAATGATGAGTGTGCGAGTTTCATCAGCACGTTGAATTTGCGTGAGAGTGAGTTTGGTGGCGAGTGTGCGGCTCTAGAGCGTTTCACTTGTCATACAAATAAGATGTCGTCGAAATATCGTACTTTTGATGGTTCCTGCAACAACCCCGTGCGGTCTTCCTGGGGTCAGGCGCTCACCGGCTACAAACGTCTTCTGCATCCCAGATATGCTGATGGCATTGAAGAGGTTGGTTTTAAAAATGTTGAATGGATATATTTTTCCCGAACATTACTAATTCAAATATCAGATAAGGTCACACAAACAGAATGACCTTAGGCATGTGTTATAGTTTGTTAAATAAACAACTTGATTGAAATCAGGTTTTATTGAGATTATTTGTACTTACAATATTCATTGAGTAACAATTTTGTTTGTGAACCAAGCTTGTGGTATTTTGAGTAATATTTTTTGTATATTTGCAGCCTCGTCGTGCTTTGAGCCACAATGCGTTGCCGTCTCCTCGTGCTGTCAGTACTAAGCTTACAAGTAACCTGGACGTGCCAAACGATGGCAAGACAATGGCGTTGGCTATCTGGAGTCAGTTTGTCTACCATGATCTGGTCCATACTCCGGTTCGCAAAACAAGTGAGTTTATGAAGATGAATCATGACATGTGACATAACTTATTAAACAGGATCCTTGAGTAACAATAAGTCTGGTTGATTGAATCGTAGCGACACGTTCCAGTTGTAATTTGCAATTGTAATTTAAAGCTGTACAGCTCATGATACCTACAGCCCACGTTTCATGTTTCAATTTGAATTATAATTGTAATTGTCGCTATATTTACAAAAATATTTCTTTTATCAACAGTTCATACGAACCAAGCTATTCGGTGCTGTGGAAACGATGGGTTCCCTCTTAGTCCAAGATACATACATCCAAGCTGTATGCCTATTTCTGTGCCTCATGATGATCCTTTCTACAAGGACAAGTATGTCACCTGCATGGAGTACACACGATCCGTTACAACTTACAGAGGAGACTGCACTTTTGGAGCTGCTGAGCAGGTAAGAAACTGGTTCATTTATTTATTTGTAACATAGGTGGTATTTACTTTGTAGAAGTTTCTATTATGCCATTATTCAACCTCAGAGAGGAAAGCGAAACTGGTGCAGATTTTCATATCAGGTAGAATGCCCAATTGCTTTCTTAGAGCCATTGTAAAGTTAGCATTTTTTCATACATTTCTGATCCAAAAACGCTAAGAATCTTGTTTTGAATAGTATAACTACATCAACAACTTGGTTCCTTGAACTTTTGCGCATTGAGATGGCAGTAGGTATATCAAGAAAGGCAAAACAATTGCATTGATACATAAGATCGTATTCTATTTGTTTATGACATACAATGACGCGACTTCGATCATGTATGGGCGGCGTGACTGGTTGTACATTGAACGAGTACAGTACCTATGTCTTATTCGGTGTTCTTTGTTTATTAAATGGTATAATATTGATTCATGTGTTAGTGTTTCAGAATTTTTAATGCGTCAGTTTATTTGTTGGTTTGTAAAGTATTAATTACTTAATGTTTTCGTTTTGTGTTTATGAACCACTTATAAACTATCTAAGTTACCTATATAAGTACATTCAATTGATCTTTTCAAAAGTTCAAATTCAAATAGTTTTGAAAACGAAAGAAATATGACAAGTTTCAATTATTGGCCTTTCTATTCTTAGTTAAAGTTATGTATTTTTTATTAAAACTCAAATTAAACGTATGATTTGATGACAACAATATCCAGGGATTGTGATGTACTTATTACATTGTAAATAATAATAGCAGTTTTAATATCTCTTTGACGTCAAACGCGAGTTTAATAAAAATATGAACAGCAATATATTTTCGCGATTACAGAGAAAAGCTTTGTGTGCTTATTTATTATCATAACATAACATAATTATTAAGAATTTTATATCAATACATATTATAAAACAAAGTCGCTTTCGCTGTATGTCCGTATTTATGCTTAGATCTTTAAAACTACGCAACGGATTTTGATGCGGTTTTTTTTAATAGATAGAGTGATTCTTAAGGAAGGTTTGTATGTATAATACATGCATATTGCACCCGTGCGAAGCCGGGGCGGGTCGCTAGTATACAAATATAATATTATACATCTCAACAATATATTGTATAAGTAGTCCAATAAGCAAAACAAATTGACACGAGGACTATCAATTGCAGTCTTTAGAATGTGAATAAATGAAGACGCAATTTGTAAACTACTCAAGTCATTGTTCGGTTCAAAAGTCCACATATTCCGAAAGCTAATCGATTCGCGTTATCGATTTGTTCTTGACTATTAAACTGAGAGGTTTCAATTGATCGGTCTAGGTAACTAGTGTGTTTATATGAAGGCTAAATATAGTGCAGAGTGCAGTCTAGTTGCTTCTATCGAGTAGTGTTACATAAGGTCAGATGATAAACGTAATGCGCTCGAGTCATATTGGTAATATCCGGATTAACTTCTATGCTGTTGATAAGAGATGGACAATAACATGTTTTTGTGACATACATACGTACGTACCTACCTAACTACTTAGCTACTCATTGTAATAGATTATACCTATGTGATAGATTTGGTAAGACTTGAACGCTTTTTCTATATTTTGTTTATCTGCAATTTAGAAGAGGTTAATCTTTTTTTTTTATTGGATAAGTCGGTAAACGATCAGACGGATCACCTGATGGTAAGCAATCGGCGCCGGCAATAGAGACCCGAATTACCAGAGGCGAGGTTACAAGTGCCATAGTACCGGCCTTTTGGGAATTGGGAATTTCGGTATTGGGGTTGATTCGGGGATTGTGGGGGGGGGGGGG